CACCCCTTTTAAATTGGTTTCAGTTTTTAATATTTTCTGCTTTCTTTTGTATTGAGGTGTTTTCTGTCATTGCTGCTGAATGTTTTGCTTTCTTTAGTTTGTTTCTTGTTTGTGTTTTGTATGATTTTCTGCATATGAAATCCAAGATAGGTAAATCTATAGAGACTAACTGGATTAATAATTACCTAGGGGCATGGCAAGGAGATTGGGGGAAATGGGTAGTTAAAAGCATGTATGAGAAACAGTAAAAGGTTTTGAAATTGATTGCAGTGATGATCACACAACCCTTCTGAATATGATTGAACAGTTAAATTTTACAAGATGTGCAATTATATGCCAATAAAACTCTTAGAAAGAGAAAATCTTCCCTGCTTTTTACTGAGTCGGGATCTCACATCTGTCTCATTGGCCTCAGATTCTTTGGACTTGAGCCAGCAGTCTGCATATTGCCTGCCAATCCTGAGAGTCAACATCCTGCATATTTTCCTGCCAACCCTGGATGTATTTAGGAACCTGCCATCAGCCTACTGATCTTAGGCTCATCCACCAATCAATCCCATGGACTTGGAAGCTGCCTCCTGCAACTCTGAGAACCATTTTCTTAATCCAAACCTCTCTGTATATATGCTTCCCTAGTTTGGCTTCTCTAGATAACTCAGCCTAAAACACACATATTAATACTAATATCATGCTTACTAAGTACAATATTTCTTTGTAGTTCTTTTTCTTTAGAATATATAGTCCATCTTTCCCATTTGTAGATTTCATACTTGCACATTGACCTACTTGCTAAAATTGACTTCTCAAATTGGGATTCCAAAACCCTTCTACAGCAGCGGTTCTCAACCTGTGGATCACGACCCCTTTGGGGGTCGAATGACTCTTTCACAGGGGTTGCCTGATTCATGACAGTGATGAAGTAGCAACGGAAATAATTGTATGGTTGGGAGTCAGCACAACTGGAGGACCCGTATGAAAGGGTCGCGGCATGAAGAAGGTTGAGAACCACTGTCAGTCATTCACAGATGTGCTCAGAGTGGTGAAAATGTTGAGTCCCCTGACACATGTTCCCAACTGAGGTCAAACAGATAACACTCCACCTTCTTGTATCAGCGCTCATGCTGTAAGTAACTGTCCTTTTTGCACCATATTTTTGATATGTTTGTGATTTCACTAATTAAAATGGCCTAAAGAGTAGTGCTGAGTGCAATCTAGTACTTCTAAGAGCAAGAAGAGTATGACACCGTACACAGAAACTATGTGGTTCTGATAAGCTATTTTTTAGGCATGAATTATGCTGCTGATGGCCTTGAGTTCAATGTATCTGAATCAACAATATACAAGGGTATTGCCAATAAGAGTCCGCTTTGAACGAAATGTGCTTAAACATATCTGTGATCAAGGGATGGCTGCGGACAAGTTCTCTCAGTAAGACACATGCCTGTCTTAGTTTTGTTAGGGTACCTTCAACAATGAGGTCCAATCAAAACAGGGCTTTCTGAGGGGACCAATGCTGGGCTAGTTGAATTGCAAGCAGAAAGTAAGTGGTTCTTGTTAGTTAGTTAGCTTGTTTGTTTGTTTGTTTTAATTGAAAGGGGTAATGTTGGTAGATTTTTCTCAAAGGACACAGGATGACCACAGTAGTTAGCATCAAGG